TCCTTCTTAAGAAATATAACATATCATCAAAAACTATATCTCCTGATGATCTTTGAAGCAAATCTTTCATTTTTATATAAACAAACAACCTAAATTCTCTTTAAAATTCCTGTCCTTCTTAAGAAATATAACATATCATCAAAAACTTTATCTCCTGATCAGTGGTGGAGAAAGTACTCAAACACTGTACTTAAGTAAAAGTACAAATAAACAGACAAAAATGTACTCTAGTAAAATTAAAAGTATCACATCAACATTTTTACTTGAGTAAAAGTAAGTACTTGCTTTTAAAAATACTTAAGTATTAAAAGTAAAAGTACTTGCTTAATGTATTCCCTAATGGTTCTACAATATTATGAAGTATGTCTGTGTATTTTAAATACATCAATGGTGTGTGATTTTAGTGAACAATGCTGCAGTTTGTGTTGACCCTCTGTGACACTGTTCACACTGGGTGTGATTCTGTGCATCATCACAGATTGTGACAACAGAATCTGTAAATTTGCCTCCATCGTCCTTTATCAAATCTCAACAAGTCGTTTTTTGAACCAGTTAACTTGAATAAATAAGGCCACAAGTGGCACATTTCCTCCTTTGTGGAATCCATTGTGGGCATGCTGCTGCTGCTGCTGCTGCTCCAGGTGATGCAGAATCGCTCCGCTTTTTTTCTTTTTGAAGGAGGGTCTAATGGTACATTCCTGCTTTGCATTGCTTCAATGGACCAATTACAGAAATTCCCCTCTCACTACTGATTACTTTCAAACTAAAAAAAAAAAAACGAGAAACAAACAAAAAAAAAAAAATAGCTATGCGACATGACATGAATGTAATTTGTAATTCAACCCAGAAATGTAGTGGAGTAGAAAGTACAGATGTAAAAGTGGCGTGTAGTAAAAGTACAGTGGAGTAAAAGTAAAAAGTACCCATGATGAAATCTACTTAAGTACAGATACATGAAAAATGTACTTAAGTACAGCAACTAAGCACTTGTACTTAGTTACATCCCACCACTGTTCCTGATGATACCAATCTTCTTCTTCTTCTTGAGTTTATTGGCGGTTGGCAAGCCAACTGTGATGGTGCATTACCGCCACCAACTGGACTGTGGACAGGCAATATACAGGAAAAAAGAAATGGAAAAAAGGTAGTAGCGTTGTTGTTGTTGTTGTTGTTGTTGTTGTTGTTGTTTTTCTAAAAATGATAGAATTAGACCTTTTATTTTACTGACATTACTTCCAAAAATTTTATCAATTGCAAATTCAATATGCATGTTATTTATTTCTTTTTTCAATTGTTTCCTTTCTGAATCATAAACATTACATTCCATAAATACATGCTGAACTGTTTCTGGTGAATTACACTTATCACAAAGCCATGTTAAATGTTTACCAATAATTTTAAGAGAATTATTAAGGCCTGTATGACCTATTCTGATGCGCGTAGTAATTGTTTCCAGTTTTCTATTATTTCCTGTTATTCTAGTTTTTCCTACTTGTTTTTGAATATTATAAAGGTGTCTACCTTTATCATTTATATCCCAGTTTTCCTGCCAGATGTTTTTAATATATTTACTTATTATCATTTTGCATTTTTCTTTACTTAATGGGATTTGGTAATCAATATTTTTACATTTCAAAGCTTGTTTAGTGAGTATGTCTGCCTCTTCACTTCCCTCCACTCCTACATGAGCTGGAACCCAAATAAAATGTACTGATATTTTCCTTAAATCAAGTTTATAAAAAATAAAATTGATTTGATTGATTATGTCTTTCCTTTTAGAGTTATTTGTCTTGATGCTTATTAGTGCTGCCATACAGTCAGAAGCAATAACATATTTTTGAACATTTTGTAGTAATCCATTCTAGACTCATGATTATTGCTACTAATTCTACTGTATATACCGATAAATTATCCGTTACTCTTTTTTTCATTTCTATGTTATGAAATGGAATATACACTGCTGCACTGGTGTGTCCTGATTCTGGATCTTTTGACCCATCTGCTAATAAAATAACTTTATTCATATGTTTTGTTTATGAAGTTTTGTACTAAATAGCTTACTGACAAAGATTTACTTTTGTTTTTGATACCTTCATGCAGAGATACAGTAGGTCAAATGAGGTATTAATAAAAAACCTATAAGGAATACAAGGATACTGACCTACTGGACATAAATCTATTTCATGTAAACCTGCATGTTGAGCTTTAACATTTCCAATCCATCCAAAACTAAAAATATCTGTTTTCTCATGTTCCCAACTTTCCTGTAAAACACTTTTAAGTGGATGTGATGAATCACGACCTTAAATATTATTCCAGTACACTAACATTTGTTTCAGTCTTCTAAATCTCAGAGGTATTTCCCCCGTTTCAACTTGTAATGGTGCTTCTGGTGATGTTCTAAATGCCCCACAACATATTCTAAGAGCCTTTGATTGCTCAATATCAAGAAGCTTCAATCAATTAATCAATCAAACTTTATTTATAAAGCGTTATAACATCAGCCACTGCTGAAACAAAGTGCTGAACACATAAAATAAAAACTGAATACAAAAACCCAATAAAATCACACAGTTAAATAAGTAAAATCAGCAACAATACAGTAAAAGGTGAGTAAAATCAAATCTCAGTTGGGTTGAAGGCCAGTGAGAAAAAATACGTTTTTAAACAAATCTTAAAAATGGACAGTAAAGGGGCCTGTCGGACATGCAAGGACAAGGCGTTCCACAGCTTAGGGGCACTAACAGAGAAGGCCCTATCTCCTCTGAGCTTCTGTTTAGAACTGGGAATGACCAGGAGCAGCTGGTCAGCAGACCTGAGTGACCGAGGAGGGGTGTAAAGGTGAAGAAGCTCTGTTAAATAGGTTGGGGCGAGGTTGTTTAAAGCCTTAAAAACAAACAGAAGGATTTTAAAATGGACTCTAAAACAGACAGGAAGCCAGGACCGGGGTGATGTGCTCTCTTCTACGTGTTCCTGTTAAAAGACGGGCAGCAGCGTTCTGCACCAGCTGCAGACGTACAAGGGATGACTGGTTTACTCCAAAATAAAGTGAGTTACAGTAATCCAGTCGAGATGAAATAAAAGCATGGACCACTGTTTCAAACTGTTGCCTTGAAAGAATAGATTTTAGCTTTGCTATTTTTCTCAGGTGATAAAAACTAGACTTAACTGTAGCCCTTATTTGACTGTCAAGTTTAAAATCACTGTCCATCTTAAAACCAAGGTTTGTAGCTGTGGGCTTGACATGCATAGCCAAGGGGTCTAAATCCACTGGAGGACTCGGGCATGCTCCACTAGGTCCAAAAGCAAGTATCTCTGTCTTTTTTTCATTAAAATGCAAGAAATTTAGGGCCATCCAGGCTTTAAAATCATCGAGACATGCTAAAAGAGGTTTAATGGACCAAGCCTCAACTCGCCTTACAGGTACATAGATTTGGCGGTCGTCAGCGTAGCAATGGAAGGAGATGCCGTGTTTTCTAAAAATTGAARCCAAAGGCAGGATGTACAAAGAAAAAAGCAAAGGCCCTAAAATTGAACCCTGGGGAACCCCACATGACAGAGGAGCAGAAAAGGATTCAAATCCTGCAATCTTTACTGAAAATGTTCTGTTTGCCAGATAGGACCTTAWCCAGTCCAGGGCAGTGCCACTGATGCCTACCTGGTGCTGTAGACGCATCAACAAAATGCTGTGGTCTGCTGTGTCAAATGCAGTGGTTAAGTCCAGTAAAACAAGAATAACATGATCACCAGAGTCACATGCCTAAAGAATATCATTATAAACTCTCAGAAGGGCTGTTTCAGTGCTATGAAGAGTTTTGAAACCTGACTGAAACACATCCATGATATTATGTTCGTCTAGGAAGGATTTTATCAGCACGTAAACAATTTTTTTCCAAAACTTTTGACAGTAAAGGTAGCTTGGARATGGGCCTATAATTCCCCAGTACAGTGGGATCAAGACCAGGTTTCTTTAACAGGGGGTGCACCACAGCATGTTTAAAATTAGCAGGAACTACACCAGATAACAAACTACTGTTAAAAAGGGAAAGAACTAAGTGCCTAAAACAAGGGGAAACTTCTTTTAAAAAATGTGGTGGAAGGGCGTCACATGGAGAACCAGAGGGCTTAATCTGGGCAACCATATCCTCAAACAGAGACAGAGACACTGGTTCAAACTGATTAAAAACCACAGAGCAGGGCTTACACACAGAGGGATCAGAGTCTGGGCGTAAAATGGAGGCCCGTATGGAGGTAACCTTATCAATAAAAAACTGCATAAAATTATTACAAAGCTGAACAGATGCTTCTAAACCAGCAGTGTGAGGAGAGTTAAGGAAAGAGTCAATAGTGGTGAAGAGAACACGGGGGTTGTGGCTGTGAGACAGAATTACGTTAGAGAAGTGTTCCTTTTTGGACGTTTTTACTGTGTCCTGGTAATTACGCCAGCAGTCTCTAAACATCTGAAGGGACACCTGCAGCTTGTCTTTTCTCCACTTGCGTTCCGCTCTGCGAACAGGTTTGTTTCTGCTGCTGCCATATAACTGATACTTTGATAATCTAAAGTGGTTCTCAGAAGAGATTGGTATACATTTAATAATGATTTTCTACTGGCACCCCAATCTTTTCCTGCCAAACAACGTAGTAAATTATTTACTTTTTTACATTTTGCCTTGATTTTGTCTATACAGTGTGTTGTTTCCAAGTGAGTTTTTCATCAAATAACATACCTAAAAACCGAATAACTTTTACTTGTTCAATATTTTGATTGCATAATTTTAAAGAAATAGATTTTTGTTTTTTTTAGAAAAATAGATAATTTGGGATTTAGTGATTGATAGTTTAAATCCCCATTTGTCAACATGCTTCAACTTCATTTATTGCTTTTTGCATTTTGATTTCTGACGTGATCTGTAAGAAATCTGAAGCAAGCATCCCGGTTGTCGAAATGCACAAATGCCCTCCTCTGCAGTGGTAAAATGATCACATTGTTGTGCAGAGTGTAAAGATTCTGCTCAGGAAAATGCTTCCACACCAGTTTAGCCAGGTCCTTGTGTGTGTGGGTTACAGTCGGTAAACCCGTCAACTTGATCGTTGGAAATCTCACTTTTTTTTGTTCAATCAACAATATGTCCCTCATTTCATTGACTGTTGAAAAGTCTGGGATGTTAAACCAAGGACGCTCAGTAGAGAACAAGTAGGGACTAGTTGTCATGGTTATCCAAAAAGGTGCAGTGGTGCCCTTTGGAATGTTGCTCATTGACCTCGGGATTTTAGCCCAGGCCACAATGTCGTTTTTGTGTGGCATAGCCCTCAATGGAAGTCTTGGATGATGATGACGATGATTCTTCTTCTTCTTCTGGATGGCAAACAACGGAAGGTGTGCATTTACGCCACTTACTGATATGGAGTGTGGATCAAACTACTTAATATGTAAGTATGTGATGTTGCTTATATTTTAATTTTTCTAATTTTGTTTTTCTAAAAAAAAAAACTTCAATTTGTAGACTTTTACTTCTGGTTTCTTTTTGTAATATATTTATTATATTAAATGTTTCTTTGATTTTCCTTAATTCTTCTATCATTCATCTTCTGTGTTGTTCATATTCCCTGCAGACTAAAATGACATGTTCTATGGTTTCTTCTTGTCCGCAGTGATCACATTGACCTTTGAATTTTGTATAATGTATTGTTCAGTGCAGTGTGTCCAAATCTAAGTCTGCTTACTAAAGGTGCAGTCTGTAACTTTTCTAAAAATATATTAACATATTTGTTCACTTTGTCACTATCACCTGACAGATTGATATTAGACAGGTGATCACTGAAAAAAACTGAAGTCCTCTGGCTCCTCCTGGTGGTAGTACAGTCAAAATAAAGACAAGCAATAATGGAAGTGCACCCGGCGTTGAACAGCCAATGAAAACTGAGGTATTTTCATGAACGAGTAGACCCATCCCCCCTGTTCCTGCCTGCATCGTGCATCCGCGCAGCACGTTCTCGTTCAGAGTCAGACAGCAGCTGTGGCTAATGGCGGATAAACAAACTACACCCTACAACCTGGATTGGCGCCTGTTCTGAAACCCAACACAGGGAAACAGAAGACCCAGGAAGAAATCCAAGTTGAAAAGAATGGGCCTCATGCAAGAACCGTTGGTACGCACAGATTTGTTCTTAAGTTGTGCGTACGAGTGATTGAGGAGAATTTGTGGCATTCACCAATGTTTTCATATTCTAAGATTTTTTTCAGATACGAACAAAATTCACGAGTGGTCAAGACCTGTCGTATATTTTACGTGAAGTCAGTCTGCTGTAATCCAGACGGGTTTTC